ATCACCTGAGGTCAGGAGTTTGAGACCAGCCTGGCCAATATGGTGAAATCTTATCTCTACTAAAAATACAAAAGTTAGCTGGGTATGTTGGCATGGGCCTATAATCCCAGCTACTGGGGAGGCTAAGGCAGGAGAATCACTTGAAGCCAGGAGGCTGAGGTTGCAATGAGCCTAGATTGTGACACTACACTCCAGCCTGGGTGACAGAGCAAGGCAAAAATAAAAAATAAATAAATGAAATAAAATCAGATTATTAGACTTTTTCCCTATAGAGTTGAGTTCCTTATATATTGTCACTAATCTCTTGTCAGATGCATAGTTTGCAAATATATTCTCCCATTCTGTGGGTTGTCTCTTCACTTCATTGATTGTTCCTTTGCTGTGCAGAAGCTTTTTAATTTGATGTGATCCAATTTGTTCATTTTGCTTTTGTTGCCTGTGCTTTGGGATATTACTGAAGAAATCTTTGCCCAGATCAATGTCCTAGAGAGTTTCCCCAATGTTTCCTTATAGTGGTTTCACATTTTCAGGTCTAAGTCCATCAAGTCTTAGTCCATTTTGATTTGATTTTTTATATGGCCATAGATAGTGGTTGAGTTTCATTCTTCTGCATATGGATATCCAGTTTTTCCAGCACCACTGATTGAAGAGACTGTCCTTTCCTCAGTGTATATTCTTGGCACCTTAGTCAAAAAATGAGTTTACTGTAGATATATGAATTTATTTCTGGATTTTCTATTTGATTCCATTGATCTATATGTCTGTTTTTATGCCAATACCATACAGTTTTGGTTACTATAGCTCTGTAACAAGTCAAATAATGTGATTCCTCCAGTTTTTTACTTTTTATCTTTTATTTTGGGTTCAGGGCAATATGTGCAGGTTTGTTATATAGGTAAACTCATGCCATAGGGGTTTATTGTACAGATTATTTCATCACCATGGTACTAAAAGCCTAGTACCCAATAGTTACCTTTTCTGATCCCCTCCCTCCTCTACCCTCCAACCTCAAGTAAGCCCCAGTGTCTGTTGTTCCCCTCCTTGTGTTCTCATCACTTAGCTCACACTTATAAGTGAGAATGTGTGAAATTCAGTTTTCTGTTCCTGCATTAGTTTGCTAAGGATAATGGTTTCCAGCTTCGTTTATGTTCCTGCAAAAGACATAATCTCATTATTTCTTATAGCTACGTTGTATTCCATGGTATATATGGAGCACATTTTCTTTATCCAATCTGTCATTGATGGGTATTTAGGTTGAATCCATGTCTTTGCTATTGTGAATAGTGCTGCAGTGAATATACGTGTGCGTGTGTCTTTATGGTAGAACAATTTATATTCCTTTGGGTATATACCCAGTAATGGGATTGCTACATTGAATGGTAGTTCTGTTTTTAGCTCTTTTAGGAATTACCACACTGTTATCCACAATGGTTAAACTAACTCACACTCCCATCAACAGAATATAAGCATTTTTTTTCTCTGCAACCTTGCCAGCACCTGTTATTTTTTGGCTTTTTAATAGTAGCCATTTCAACTGGTGTGAGATGACATCTCATTGTGGTTTTGATTTGTATTTCTGTAATGGTCAATGATACTGAACTTTTTTTCATATGATTGTTGGCTGCATGTATATAATTTTTTGAAAAGTGTCTGTTCATGTACTTTGCCCACTTTTTAATGTTTTTTTTTTCTTGTAAATTTGTTTAAGTTTGTTATAGATGCTGGATATTAGATCTTTGTCAGATGCATAATTTGCAAAAATTTTCTCCCATTTTGTAGGTTGTCTGTTTACTCTGTTACAGTTTCTTTTATTGTTCAGAAACTCTTAAATTTAATTAGATCCTACTTGTCAATTTTTGCTTTTGTTGTGATTGTTTTTGGCATCTTCATCATGAAATCTTTGCCCATTCCTACATCCAGAATGGTATTGCCTAGGTTGTCTTCCAAGGTTTTTATAGTTTTAGATTTTACACTTAAGTCTTTTATCCATCTTGAGTTGAATTTTGTATATGGTGCAAGGAAAGGGTCCAGTTTCTGTCTTCTCTGTGTGATTAGACAATTATCTCAGCACAATTTATTGAATAGATAGTTCTTTCCCCATTGCTTATTTCTGTCAATTTTGTTGAAGATCAGATAGCTATAGGTGTGCAGCCTTATTCCTGGGCTCTCTACTCTGTTCCATTTGTCTATGTGTCTGTTTTTGTACCGGTAATATGCTGTTTTGATTACTGTAGCTCTGTAGTGTAGTTTGAAATTGGGTAACGTGATACCTCCAGCTTTGTTCTTTTTGCTTAGGATTACCTTGGCTATTTGGGCTCCTTTTTGGTTCCATTTAAATTTTAAAAGAGTTTTTCTAGTTCGTGAAGAATGTCATTGGTAGTTTGTGCTCCTGATACAACTGTCCTAGCTTTTCACCAGCTTTCCACCCGGAATTCCCACTCTTCCATTCATAATTCTACAGAACTCTTTATTTATTTATTTATTTATTTATTTAATTTTTGAGACAGAGTCTCTCTCTGTCATCCAAGCTGGAGTGCAGTTGCACGATCTCAGCTCATTGCAACCTCTGTCTTCCTTGTTCAAGTGATTCTCCTGCCTCAGCTTCCCAAGTAGCTGGGATTACAGACGCCCGCCACCACACCCAGCTAATTTTTGTATTTTTAGTAGAGACGGGGTTTTGCCATGTTGGACCATCTGGTCTTGAACTCCTGACCTCATAGAACTCTTAAAAGAATGCATGGTATTGGCCGGGTGCAGTGGCTCACACCTGTAATCTCAGCACTTTGGGAGGCCGAGGCAGGTGGGTCAAGGTCTGGAGATCAAGACCATCCTGGCTAACACGGTGAAACTCCATCTCTACTAAAAAAAATACAAAAAATTAGCTGGGCGTGGTGGTGGGCGCCTGTAGTCCCAGCTATTCGGGAGGCTGAGGCAGGAGAATGGTGTGAACCTGGGAGGCAGAGCTTGCAGTGAGCCGAGATTGCACCACTGCACTCCAGCCTGGGCAACAGAGCGAGACTCTGTCTCAAAAAAAAAAAAAAAAAAAAAGAATGCATGATATTGCAATTGTTCAAAGCGGAGTGACAGGCAAAGGGGAAGAAGGAACTAATATCCTCTAGCAGTGTATTTTGTGCCAAAAACAAGTATCTTCAAGCTTTCATATTCTCTGATCAAAATAACATTTTGCTTAAAATTACAATATAATTTAATTTCATTATTATTAGAAACTCAATATGGTCTGAATTGTGATGATTTTCCTTGGAAGAATATAAAGTATAATAAAGATTATTTTAAAATTCATGATAGTGGTTTTTATTTAGAGGCTATAGCATATTGTATTGTATTATTAGAGATGAATTAATTGATAAATTTATCACAGATATAAGTAAAACCAAATGGGAAATAATATTCCATTTATATAAATTCATCATATACAAACTTCAAGCATTATCACAGATTTTCATCAAGTGAAATGCATACAACCCCATCAACCTCATCATTATCAACAAATTCAATGAAATTTTAATGAATTACTAACATAATGTATAGGATTAAACACAGACAGCCAAAAACGGATACCCCTTTTTTCCCATTAAGTGAGATTTCTGTTGACCCCACAGATGGAGGTCACATTTTTATACCATCAGCTCCTCCCTCCACTCTACTCCTCTCCCCTCACAGTGCCCTATGCCACCTATAAGATGCCATTATATTCCCTGAAGGCACTACCTCTCAAGCCATGGCCCCAGCTCCATTCTTCCATCCCTTACTCAATCCAAGTCCAGTGAGCTCAGTGCAACCAACACCTCAGGACAGCGGCTGATTCCATCACCCATGCAAAGGAATCCACAAAGCAATGGGGACTGACACCCAAAGGCAGTGACCCCAGGCCTGCCGTGTTTGCGCACACTTGTGCTGCGTCGCTTAGCACATAGGATCTGATTTAATTGCTCAGTTGTCTATCTGGCCTTCTGAGAAGCTGTGAGCTAGTCAAGGGGAGAAATGTGTTCTGTCTGTCCCTATATTACCAGGGCCCACAAAGGACGTACCCTGGCTTCGGAGCATGTGAGCTGAATGAAGAAAAAAAAAGTGGAACAGCAGCCAGGGGGCCTGAACGGTGGATAATTGGACCGTCATCGGAATTTCCTGCTTCCCTTTTGTCATTCCTCAAAATATGCGCCTTAAGTATATGCTGAAAGCCTGGTCCTTGGGAGCGTGTGGTGCTTCCCCTCCCTTTGGGGAGCGAAGGAGGACACATGGTTGAGCTGTGCATCGTAACACCCAGGATAAAAGGGCTGAGGCCCTAGGTTCGTCAGTCCACAATCACCTCAGGAAGAACCTTCGCCTGCCTCCACCAAACTAGGTGAGCGTCCAGCTGGCGAGAGGAACTGGGCTGAAAGGGCTGCACAAACACCACTGTGCTTCAGCAAGGAGAGGGGAGGAGGCAGACAGGGTGGAGGCGGCAGAGAGGCTGTGGTGGGCGGCCAGCTGTGACTGGGATGGGAAATGGGCGGCGTTGTGAGGAAGACAGACGAGTCTGCGAGCCACTTCAGGGGCTCCGCAATGCTGCGACCTCTGGACCCTCCTTTCCTCATGTGCCCAGAGATGCATTGCCTCCTCACACCCTCCGCTCACAGGCGTCCAGAGAGACGCCACCCTGGAGGGTCATGGGCGTTGTGTTCACGGGACGCCTGCAGGAGGCGCTGTTCGCGTCGGACCCGGAGGTGTGACAGGCCCCGCGAGGCGTGCGCAGGAGCCCCAGAGGCCCACCCAGGAGTGTCAGCTGCCTCCCAGGCAGGGGAGAGGGCCGGAGGAAGGAGCAGTATCAGGCCGGTTTAACTTCAGATCCCTTTGCATTCCCCTTCCCCAGGTCTTGGCTGGAGGGCAGACTGAGTTTAGGCAAAGGGATCCACAATTAAAGCAAAGCATGAAGAGGCCCTGGCCTGAAACCTGCATTGACGCGTATTTTGCTTTGCTTTTATTTTGCCCAGGCTCCCCGACCTCCTGCCCAGATGTTCTGCCAGCAGAACCAGCAGCAGTACCAGCCTCCGCCCAAGTGCCCTGTAAAGAGCCCAGCACAGTGTCTGCCTCCAGCTTCCTCTGGCTGTGCCCCAAGCTCTGGGGGCTGTGGCCCCAGCTCCGAGGGTGGCTGCTGCCTGAGTCACCACAGATGCCACAGGTCCCACCGTTGCCGGCGCCAGAGCTCCAACTCCTGTGACAGGGGAAGTGGTCAGCAAGGCGGGGGCTCCAGCTGTGGTCACAGTTCTGGGGGCTGCTGCTGACCTGAGCCACGAGATTAAGTGAAAATATCTGAGAAAAGAAAGTGCCAAAATGACTGGAACCAGCCCTAGCCTGGTGCTTCTTTGCTCCTGTCCCCTCTTTCCTACTGAGATGTTCCTTCATAAGTTTCAAGTACTCCCCCAGGGGGTTTATCCTGCTGGTCTCAGTGTTTCCCCTCCTTCTTTAATATCCCTGTGTTGTGAAGAATAAAGCTATGCTTTCTTGTTGCACCCTCTGTCCAGTGCGTTCCTCTCTGCCCTATGGGAGGCTGCCCCACATTGGGTACATAGGCCTATCTTAGGAACAGACACAAGTGGATCATACACCCCTCAACTCACAAAACCCTTTTAGTGGGGTTGTATGTTAGTATGGGAATGAGGTGAGCAGTCTGTCACAAGGTCAAGGACAGAAGCATGAGTTGGGAATAAACACAGAGCTCTGGAAAGCAAAGGGAATTAGCTTACTTCAGAAAACACTTTGGTAGCTCAGCCCTAGGCATGGCAGAGAAGAGGAGAGGCTCCAGACGGGAGCAGGTCCTTGGTCCTCTGGTTCCTCCAACTCCGATACTGTGTAGTCTTCATGACCCAGGACCACAGCAGCCCCCAGAGCTGTGGCAGCAACTGGAGCCTCCAGAATGCTCTGGTGGGCATGTCAGTGGGATCTGTAGGCCCATGGTGACTCTGGTAGCAGCTTCCTGCAGAGCTGGAACCACCACAGAAATAGACTGGCAGCAAACAACCAAAAGGATACTTGAGGATTAGGCACTTGGGAGGGGGCTGACAGAGCTGTTAGTTTTTCCTTTCAGGACATCTCAGCTCAGTGATCCCTGGAAGAACTGAAAAAGTAAATCATTGTTTTCTTTCTTTCTATCTGTCTATCTATCTATCTCCCTTTGTCCCTCACCATCTTTCTCAAACCCTGACCCAATGACCCTAAGCTCACAGTTTTGCTAACCTAAGGGCAGCAGGGAAACAGGGCCTTGGGCAGGAATGAATTGGCTCAGGGTGTTTGCTGATGAAGGTGTTCTCTCTTCCTACTTTGATTTAGAATCAGAAAAAAGGAGATGGGACATGGAGAGTGATGATGGTGGTGGGTTCTACTCCAAGTAACAGCTCTTCAAAATCTAACCCTTCAGTAGGAAATTCAACAATTATTCAGTAGGTACCGAGATGTTTTCTGATAGAAGGGAAACAGGAAGTCCCTATAACACCCAAAAATCTGGCCTTGATTATCAGGACTGTTGAAAACTAATTGTCCATACTATTTTATTCATTAATTAATTCATTCAAACAACAGATGAGGACACAGTTCAGATATATGTTGACACAAAGGACTCAGAAATGTGTAAAATATGATTCTCATCTTGAGATGCTGACTGACAAGTCAGCAATCCACGTATGAGCTGGAATGATATGGACTATTACATAAGTGTGTGGGAAGTCCATGGGACTTATTCTTTGGATGGTAACTCCCAGTTTCCTTGACAAGAGTGAAGTGTTCAGACATTGTCACTAGTATCGTTTGTGGGTGTTGGGTGAGGTTTCTGCCCTGCAAAATGACCTGTGATGGTCCTGTGGTGGCCTAGCTAAAGTGACTAAGAAGAATAATGGGACCCAAGAGCCAGGAGTCCCTGGTCAGAAGGTTTCCTGGCAGAAGGAAGAAATGAAGCTGCCCTTTGAGAGAAGTTGGATCTGAAAGGGAAGCAAGCTAAGATAATGTGAGGCAGAATAGTGTGCAGACCAAGAATATGAGCACTGGAGTCAGACTCCATTGCCTCCCTCTTTTAAATACCGGGAGAAACCTAGAGGTGTCTAGGGAAAAACAAACCAAAAAATAAAGGCAAAATTAACCAGAAATGCTGGAATTAAAAGCAGAGACACCAATTAGCAGTCTAGATCTTTGATATGACAGACCTGCAAATCTAGCAGTCTAGATCTGTGACATGACAGACATTGCTTCAGCATTTACTTGACTGCACTATTGATCAAAGAGATAGGAATGGTTCAGACAAAGGGAAGCTCATATCACATAGGGCAGAACGCTCTAGGAAAAAGGAGGGATTGAATGATAATTGATGGGAGGAATAATAAAGTGATTGATAACAGTGGTAATTAAGTTTATTTCACCAGTGTTTCTGCTGAATATAAATAACAGCTTTTTAATATTTTCCCATTGCATTTAATTTTTTTTTTTTTTTTAGGTGGAGTCTTACTCTGTCTCCAGGGCTGGAGTGCAGTGGCGTGACCTCTGCTCACTGCAACCTCCCAGGTTCAACTGATTCTCCTGCCTCAGCCTCCTGAGTAGCTGGAACTACAGGCACAAGCCACCATGCCTGGTTAATTTTTGTATTTTTAGTAGAGATGGGGTTTCACCATGTTGGCCAGGAATTAGATAATTATTTGGCATATGTAAATAACTTTGATATCTTTTGGTAAGACATCATTATTGCAGCAATAGTTCTGAACATTCTAGTTCCATAAAGGTTATATGGAACATTCTAGTTCCATAACCTCTTCAAAGCTTGAATACGTTACAACCGTGACCAAAATATGAGTCTTTTCAAAACACTGTGGGAACATTAATTTTATACTAGGGCTTCAGCAATACATACAGTGAACTGACAAGAGGGTGAGGATATGGCTAATACCTATTTGTGGTGGTTTTAAGGCATGGTTCAAAGTTTTTTGACATTCCTTTCATTGAGAAGTTAGGCCTACGTCCACTTACCTTGAATCTAAGCAGGCTTGTGACTCCTTTAACCAAATGAATATGGTTGAAATATGCTATGTGACTTCAAAGGCTGGGTCACAAAAGGTCATGCAGATTCCATCTGGTCCTCTTGGGAGGCTGTCTCTGGGGAAGCCAGTACCATGTAAAAAGTCTGGCTATTCTAAGACCATCATGCAAGAGAGGCCAGATGTAGGTCCTCCAGGTGACAACCCCGGAAGAGGTCCCAGCTGGCATTCAACATCAAGAGCCAACAATCCGAGTGAGCCTTCTCATATGTCCAGCCCAGTCAGCCTTCAGGTGACCACAGCTCCAATCAACATCTGATGACAAATGTATGAAATGAGAATTGCCCTGCTGACTCCTTTCTGAATTTCTGACCCATAAAATTGTGAGAAAACCAAGATGGCTGTCATTCCACATCACTTAGTGTGTTGTTTCACATCACTAAGTTTTGGGGTGATTTGTTATGTAACAATAGGACATCCACTGATTTTCTGCCATCAGCAACTTACCTTCTTCCTTCTAAAGTTGTTGGCTCTGCTGAGGTGCCAATAGCCACTAGATAGCTTTCTTAGTCCCCACAAAATTCACCGCTTTCATGCCTTAATGTTTTTCCAAGGCTAGGTTTACCTCACCTACATTGACACTCATGACACACAGGGTATGAGAATCCAACTGAATGCACAGCAAGGAAAATGTCAGCCTGCAACATGCTCAATCGATGTCTGCTCCAAGTAAAAAGAAACTTCATCTGTTCCCATTGTACCTACAATGCCTAGAGTGGCACCTGGCATTGGAGATACACTCATTATTGGCAGAAAAGCTGAGTGTTAGGAGAGAAGCTGAGGCAGGGCTTGGAATATGTCTGGGGTCCAGGGTCTAAAACCTGTCACGGCTTCTGGAATGTGTCTAGACTTGCTGGCTCCTTGTGTCTAGCACTCCCATTATCTCAAATAGCCATATGTTTCAAAGAAAATGATAACCATCACAGCTGTAGCTCATTTGCTTGATACATAGCTTCCTTTCAACCCCCACATCCTCACAACCTGTTTCTTTGTTTGATCACCAATAAATAGTGTGGGCTCCCAGAGCTCAGGGCCTTTGCAGCCTCCATACTAGCATTGGCCCCCTGGTCCCACTTTCTCTCTTGTCTTTTCTCATTCCTTTGACTCCACTGGACTCCGTAGCCCCTCCCCACCCCCGGCAGGCTGGTGTTGGGTCTGATCACCCCAACACTCATCAAATGTTTGTGCAATCTCAGTCTCTATGAACCCTGAAATGCACACAATGAATTTTAGGCCAACTAGCTTCATCAATGCTTGAGGCTTTGCATGTACAACATAGCTTAGTGTGGGACTCAGGTATTCCCATAAGGAGCTTGCCCATCCTTTTTCTTTTTTATCCATTATGTGTTTTAATTCTGACTTTTAAAGAGTACTTCCCAAGCATGTCTTAAGTGTACCAGGGCAAGAAGCCTATTACATTGATTCAAGTCTACCCAATTGTAAGTTTCATATCTCTGTTCACTTTCTCAGAGAACCCTTCTTAGCCAGTTAAGTGATTTGACTAGCAGAGCAGATTTGACTTCAACTTTCAGTCATGGTTCCTTTTGACACTTTTCATTCCAGTTTCTTAAGAAATAATGTGTCCAAGTATATTGGAGCAAAACTGATTTCTAGTTTGCCACTTTTTAAAAATGAAAATTTAAAGAAAGTATTATAATCAGTATTTCCAAAGTATCATATAGGTCTTATTCTCTGTCTAAAATGTCCACGCTCAACCTCTGATTTCCCTCAAAACTTTCTACTTTGACTTAGCCACAGCTATATGATTTATTTTCATCTTTCTGAAGTTATCTTGAGAGCCATTATGGCTTGGGTTAAACAGCCCCCTTTTTTGCAATATTATTTCCAAAATCCAGCTATCAAAATGAAACAGCACTGGTGATTCACATCAATCACTTTGGTTTGGAGTAGAGATAAAACACTGCCATATTCCAATGTTGGGACAGGAGCTCCTCAATTAGAGTCCAACTATAATATGGCTGTGTCTCATTATTGTTGAGTTCACAAAGTAACACATGACAGAAAATAATAATAATAATGAGTTCAATTCTATCTCAAATCTCTTAAAAGAAATTTACAGATATGTAATCTGTACCCCCAGAAACATTAATCCTGTCTCTTTTTTCTGTTTTCTCAGAGCACAGAGCCTCTCATTGGCATTCCCATCAGAGAAAACTTCAATTCCAATTGCTTCAGAATTTACTAACTTCAACTCACCTCCCTCCCTAAAGTCCATTATGTGCAGCTTGATTTGATCTTCATCCTTCAGACCTTTCTGCCTCCACACCTTCCATCCTCTTTGGTCTCATTCTTGTTGATTTTCTGATTCCCTATGCCACCCTCAAGAGAAACTGTGGGCTCCAAGATCAAATTACTCCTCCCACGGTATCACACAAGAAAAGTCAGGCCTTTTCTAAGAGATTTTCATCAACCTCTCTCAACACCTCCCCTTTCTCCTATACTTCTATCCTCAAATCTCCCACAGGGACCCCCTGCATGAAGAAAAATCTGACCCATTGATTTTCCAGCCACAAGCCGGTATTATTCTGGATGCAGGGTGTGCTAGACCTTAAGGAGCTGAGGGAGGGGAGACCCACTGAGCAGCCTTCTGTGTAGCAGAGTGAAAGACAAGTGAGATGCAGGTGCTGTTCAGAAGCTTTATTTCTCTGTATAATCAGACACAAGTGATAACATTGTCAGGAGAAAAGGAGGCTTCCACAATCTAGGAAAACACATGGGTGGAGCCTTTTGGAAAAAGCATAATCCTTCCCCATGAATGAATGATTAATAAGGATGTCTAAGAAAGGATCTGTCAAGTTAGGACTTTTCCTTGGTCCTTGAGATACTTCTGTCCTCTAAAGTCACTTGTCTCCACATCAGGAATTAGGTCAGCAGCAGCCTCCAGAGCCATAGCCACAGCTGGAGGCACCATCTTGCCGACCACAGCCCCCGTCACAGGAGTTGGAGCTCTGGCGCCGGCATCGGTGGGACCTGCCATGCCTGTGGTGGCTCAGGCAGCAGCCGCCCTCAGAGCTGGGGCCACCGCAGCCCCCAGGGCTTGGAGCACAGCAGGAGGAGGCTGGAGGCAGACACTGTGCTGAGCTCTTTGGGGGGCATTTGGGTGAGGGGCACTTGGGCGGAGGCTGGCACTGCTGCTGGTTCTGCTGGCAGGACATCTTGGCAGGAGGTGAGAGCCTGGCTAGATAAAAGGAAAAGCTCAATGCAAAAGCTCCAGGCTAGTGTCTCCTCTACGAATGGTTTTATGAAGTCCTAAGACCAGTTGCTTCCTGAGATATACACTTCATGAATAAAAACAGAAACTCGTCTCAAGTAAAACTGGCCTGGTAAGATGTTTCCTTCTACTTTTCCCCCTTCCAGAAAAGAATACTGGTGTCTTCTAACTGGGCCCCAAGTCCTTCTGTCTTCATAGAAACACTGGTGCAAAAACACCAAATTGAGTAATGATTCTCAGAGAATATCACTGGACATGTATGCATCTCTTAGGAAGAGTAGAGAGAATGCTGAGAGCCAGGGCTCTGGTGTGTCACAGACTTCCATGCACCCCAAAGAGGTTCCTTGCTCACTGCCCCTTCCCCTACCCTCAATTGCCCTCTGAAGTCCTCTTCCTGCTGTGTGTACATCTGTGTACATCTGACACCTCTTCTTCCCCCTTCCCTAGTAAAATCTGGGCTTATCTTCCCCAGACATCCCCAGCTGTGGGTCCCCTCTAGATACTTACCCGGTACAGAAGATACTAAGGAGGAGAAGGCTGTTCTTTAGGAGGCTGTGGATGAGGAGCCCAAAATAAGAGCCTTTTTATCTTGTGCAGGGTTACTGATGCACAGCCCAGGCATCCTGCTTTCACAACAAGGGGAGGTGGCAGAGCCAAACACTCCCATCCCAGGCATCCAGCATCTTCCTTCACGCTTGCAAAGATGCCTGTCAAGAGGAAACCAGGAAGTCTTGATGACAGATCTCCACGTGTGTTGGGGACCTGTCATTTCTTCTCCTTTCACTCATTCAGCTCAGATGTTTTAGTCTGAGCTCTGTCCCTTGCATTTTGCAGTGAGAATGTATAGATGCATATGACACATTTCCTGACCTTGAGCCTTTCAAAGTTAACTGGACTTATATCAGAGATGAAAACATATGTGTCTGATATGGTATCATGTGGTGCGTCCTGGGATACAAACATCTTTTTTTTGGACATCAGTTCCCTATTCCTCTGCATATTCCCCAGGGGTATGGTTTGTTGAGATGTAATTGGCTCCTGACTCTTGGGGATGTTGGGTGATCTGAGACCACTGGACCCTGGGAGTGAGATGTATTAGGTAATGAATGGAGGATGGGACCCAGACCCTGTCTGGGGCAGTTGGAGCCCAAAAGAGAATTAAGGTAGGATTATATGAATAAGCAAATGAAATCATTAAGGAACGTGCAACAGTTGAGATCACAAGACTCATACTTAATATGAAAAACGTAGGTTGGCCCATATGTAGCTTCCCATGGGATGTATGATACTGATGGTAAGCAAATAAAATGGTCCATGAGCAAAAATATATAAGATAATTGGTGAGAGTCATGAAGATGATTTGTTCAATGAATTGTGGATGATGAGGTTAGTGATGGTAGTGACATCATGTGCATCACATTTAATGGAACAAACCTCATACATTCTAAGGTTTCTGTAGGATGAAATATAAAGTCTGATTCTTATTTTTCCCATTCAATTTTGTAATAGTTTTGGACATGAATTTTTCACTGAATTCATCTCTATTATCATAATACCTGTACTTTGCTATTTGTTTCTAAAAAATTAAAGTCAGAAGTATAACAGAACATTATATTTAAGTTAAATGGCAATTTTAAATAATACATGTTTATGGTAAATGCCTGTTATTGTTCCCTGTACTTGATAGTTTATGGCTTTTAGACAACAAACTCCCTATCAGAGCATGCACTTTACAACTTACCCTCTTTAAAACACAGTGGGAGGTCGGGGGCAGAATTCCATGATTTATTTTGAGATATTTAAGAGAAAATGAATTGTCTCTAGGAATGTGGCTTGGGAATGGAGGAGGAGGAATAGGATTGATTCTCCTCTCTGATATTCTTCTGTCTGCAGAGGCCTCTTGCTGAAGGGACATTTTTGGGCTTAGCTCCAGGGCTACACTAGGTGTCCATTTCTTTTACATTCTTTAGAACCCACCAATTGCTAGTGCATTGGAAGGAATTACTCATGATGGTTGAAATGGGTGCTTTCTCATTCCATACTGGTGAAGCTGAAGAGGGGCACAATCTTTTGAAAAATTCAGTTAAAAAGTTACTGGGGTTTAGACTTTGCTGCAAATCTGAACATTCATTTCTCTGTATCTTGTGTTTATCATAAGCAAGGCTTGTCCTCCCAACAGAGAAAGCATGATAGCCATTTTCCTGCATGGGTTGCAACCCTGAGTCATTGGCAGCTGGGAGAGGTAGGAGGTGGAAGCATTAATTGAGAAAGAAACATAAATCACACATTTTGGGCAAGTTTCAAAGGAACAAAGTATCCTTGCCAATGACATTCAATATATCGTGTTACCTCTGTTTTATAAAACACAGTGGATGACAGTTAGGCTTTCCTCCAGCCCCATTCTTGACTGCCTGTCTTGAAAGCCACCCCACAAGACCTGGAGAGCACATTAATCTCCCTTCTACTGTAGTGATTCCTCCTGTCACTCACTGTCCTCCTTCTGAGATCAGGTGTCCACAGTCCTCACACGCACAGGATTTGTCCTGTGCTGACAAACAGTAGCTATAAGATCATGATCTGGTCACTTCCCCTACAGCACAAGGCCACCTCCCTGAGAATGACAAGTCCCAGGAGTCCCATCCTGAGAAGCCTTGGCTTCCTGTGGTCCAAAGACAGCAAGGAAATACAGAGACTGCTCTGGCTGGATGAATCCATGAAGAATTTCATGACTTAGTCATTCCAACTGGTACTATGGGAACAGGCACTGCAGGACCTCAGGTTTAGCTCCCTGGAGTGCATTTTGGACATTCCACATCAGCAATGAAGGATGAGTAAACAAACAGAATTCTTCTCCCTTTGCTTACAACTCACAGTTCCTTCTCCATTCTGTTCCTGCTATGACTGTGACTATTACATTCCATGGCAAGCAGCTAAGTCATTCTTAAGGAAAATGGGAAGCAGTAGCCAGAAAGTGTCACATATCTCCAACATACCTAAGTTTCTTATATGGATTTGAATTTTCCCCTCAGATTAAGTGGTATTTTGAGATATTTACACCTCTCTCTATTTTCCTGAGAAAGCTCTGGTAGGACCCAGTGTATAAGAAGATGTTGGACTCAAATTTTCTTCTTGTATTAGGATGTTGGCTGAAGTCAAAAGATGAAAATAATAGATGTCTCTTATCCCCATATACTAAAGTCACCTTAGGATAAGCTGCTGAAAATCTCTGCAGGACTTGCTAAGAAAAAAAAATGGAACTCTATTTCTCTGGTTCAGCTATATATTTGGAAGGCTGAACTTTGGTGAGAATTTTTTAGATAGGGAAGTTATTGTCCTGAAAGACAATGTTGTAATCTCCCCCTACTCTTGTACGGGGGAGGGAAACTGGTTGTCCTCCTACAACAGAAGTCAATTGAAAGGACAGGATTCACAATGAGAGCTTGTAGATGTTAGAGATTCCTTCAAGAAATCTTTATTCCTTTATCCCTCAGCAGAATGTCTGCTATGGTAGTAGACTTGATGTTCTAACCTCTGAGCCTATTGTTGAATAATGAAAAGGAACTGAAGAGATAGAACAGGACGTTGAGACATAACAGCAGATGACATCTAAGAAGGAATACCAGCTTCCACAGTCTTGCTAGTATTGTGCTTAGGATGGTTTTCTGTTGGGCAGAGAGACCTCAATATCGAGAAGCTATGGCCGGTGACAATGAAGGTAGGAGCTTAGGCAGTACCTGAAGGGTTAAATCTGACTGCTCATCCCATGTCTGGAAATCATGCTGTGAGGAAAATCCTTGAAGATGCTCCAGAAGCACTCACAAAAGCACCCTATAAGACAGCCCTCCTGCAGAACCTGCCAATAGAGGAAGCTAGTGGTACAGTCACATGTATACTGATTTCCCCTCCCCTTTTCCATCTCCCAATACAAAGGAGGAGGAAGGGGTACTCAGGAAAAAGATGGAGAGGTGGTAATGAATGAGAAAAAGAGCCCATCATATTCCCCTTCCAACTCCAGTCTCCTGGGAGATACCTGGGCAATGCTTGTGTGCAAGGGAGAATTTGAGTTTCAAGTTTTGTTCAGAATGAAATTTAGCTGATCTGGACTTTAATATCCATAGAAGTGACTGATGAAATGTGAAATTTCCCTGAGGTATTTTTAAGAGAGATTCAACACAGCATAGGAAAAAACAATGACCAGAAAAGACAATGCTTCCTGTTTTTGTTGTACTGACTTTAGACTGTTCAATACACAAGTTCGTAGGCTCTTGGGTTTTTATAAGAAAGGGGCAGTTTTGGATGCTCCCACCCTTTCTAGCATCAATCAAATCAATAAGTGCCAAGATTCCAGGTCCCCAAGGGCAAACGAGAAGCAAGTTCAGGAATGTTGGGTGGAAGCTTCATAATGACCACACAAAGGTACTGTAAAGGCAATTGGAAGTAGAAACTGGGTAGTTACTGGAGATGTGATGCGGTTTGGAAGGTCAGGGAGGAAGTCTTTCAGGAATAGGAGTATCTTGGAAGATCAAGAGGGAGGACAGGGAGCTGGATGTTGGATGGTGAGAATATTCATGTGCTACTTACCTGTAGTCCATGGGGAAAAAGGAAAACTCTCTGGGAGGCAATAGAAGACCCTGACCAATATGACCCTTGCCAAATTCCTTTTCCTCAACAACTTCCATCTCTTTTGCCAATTCTTTGCTACAATTATCTTTTACCATGTTTTCTCTCAATATTCTGCCTATCCTGAATGTAGGGAGAGGATTGGACACACTAGAGGCATGAAGGATCTGTGCTAGGTCCCAGGAGGCTGCATCACTTTAGTGACAGATACTGTGTGCTCAATGAATACACTTTGACTCTGAGGGAGGTCTCATCTCCAGGGGGCTTGGAATGGACACAGGTTTGTTCATTGTGGAATGCAAAACTTCAGCAGAGTGGTTAGGGGAAAAGTGAATGAAAGCATTGAAAGAGCGCAATGATATTTGACAGAGAAAATCTGGAGTGGGCAAAACAAGAGTGTTCTGGCTGCAACTACACCTGGGCATTCTGTTGAGTAAGGATCTTTCTAGAAATAATACCTAAGAAGGGATTACTAAGACAAGGATACACTGAGTTAGAAACCAAACATTTGTTGATGCAAATGGCTTTGAAACACAAAAGATTAGAATATATGGTGCATGCCCAATTTTCAGACTATTAAGAGTAAATTCTACAAGGGCATTCCCATCCTTATCATCTTTATTAATGTTCCATGGGACTTCTCCACCAAGGAGGTGCAGAGGTGAGGGAGGAGGAAAAGCACCACACTGGGAAGAGGCTTCTCTCTTTGCTTCACTGGATCATCCAGCCCTGCTCCACTGTGGTTTTCAGTGCCCTGGTCACTGCATGAGTGACAGCATCCAGAGGGCTGACGCTGTGCCTAGTGGGATGTGTAAAGCCTGTGATGGAGCGTTCTCCAGAGCTGAGGCTATGACAGTCCCCAGAGCTGAGGCTTAGTGGGAAGAGACTGCAGTGGACACTGAGGAGCATGTTTGAGTACCCACTTTGAGGGACATTGGGAGAGGCTTGAAGCTCCTCCTAGTTTTACTTCCAGGATGTCTTGGGAAAAGTATAGTGACTATAGATGAAGTAAAAAGAGAGATAATAATAGGTAATTGTATTAATTTCTTAAATTGGATTTTTTTATATTGATTTCAAAGCATA